GAAACAAGTGAGATCTAGCTCATTTGGATCATTTAAAACGTAGCAGCTTGAGGCAGCAAGAAACAAGTGAGATCGAGCTGATTTGGATCATTTAAAACGTAGCAGCTTGAGGCAGCAAGAAACAAGTGAGGACGATAATTTACGAATGAACAGTTCGTGAGGAACTGGATGCAACAAGTTATGATATATAGCTATATGTACTACATCAAGGCAAGCAACGAGAACGCTAAAATCAAAGGTAGGTGATACCGTGAACTAGAATGTTGTGAGACCGTGCCTTTAAAACCAGGTTATAAACCCATCTTATGGATGATTTATATAGCTATAAATATAACCTTAAAATGTAGTGTAGTTTTATTTCAATATCTATATGATATGAACGTTAGCAATACAGAGTCCAGAAATTCACCTTTAGAACGTTAATAAATGATTACAGCATATTTCTTCCTTTTACTAATGTTGCATTAGGCTTAAATACGTTTCATTTCCTTCAGGCTACGACACTTATTTCTATTACACACATTGTTTGTTTGTTTGGAATTTCGCGCAAAGCTACACGAGGGCTATCTTCGCTAGCAGTCCCTAATTTAGCAGTGTAAGACTGGAGGGAAGGCAGCTAGTCATCACCACCCACCGCCAAGTCTTGGGCTACTCCTTTACCAACGAATAGTGGGATTGACCGTCACATTATAACGCCCCCACGGCTGAAAGGGCGAGCATGTTTGGTGGGACTGGGATTGGAACCCGCGACCCGCAGATTGCGAGTCGAGCTTCCTAACCACCTGGCCATGCCGGGCCTACATACAATGATCATCATACTTTTATTATAGAAATACTCATCACAACAGTAGTAGTTTGTACAAAGATGCTCTCAACTACTGTTCAGCCTACTGGAGAAAACAAACCTACCGGTTAACCGAAACTTCTCACAATCTCAGAAATAATTTGTTTGTTTTTTGACTAGGTGTTAATAGAAGTGGTTCTTTTTTTTTTTGGTAGCTCACGGAGATAAATAACGACATGTTTTTGGAGAAATAAGCCCTTCACTCCCAGATGTTGTGTCAACTGTTCACTTGAAATCTCTAGCGGTTTTATTTTTCATTAGAATTCCCTCCAGTTCTTGCCTAAGTTGTAGATTCGTAGTGAGAATCAGCTGGTCTCTGCGACAGCTTCTCTGGAAAGCTGAAAGAAAAGGTAAAAACAAAATAGGGGGGGGGGGGGGAAGGTAGAACAATGTGCTGCGTCACGGGTCAACAAAAAAATGGTGATATGTTAAAAAAAAACATTTGAAGTTAGCTAGACCTGTTACTCTGTCCCCGAAACAGTGAAAATAAAAGTTATAACAAAATTTGAATATACTAGGTAATATAAGATAGAGTGTAATTATTTAAATCAAATCAGCAGAATTAAACTGTACTAATCCAAAACTCTCAAACTGACCGTTGAACTCGATTCAAATTAACAATTATTAGAAGCATTTTCACCTATTTCTCCTGGGCATATAAAGAAACAAAGTTCAAAAAAGTCATTTATTTAACCATTGAGCTAGTGTTAACGAAGTATCAAGATTGATGCCAGTGGAACTTTCAGTAAAAGGTCAATGACCTTCATATTTTGTAATTAAATACTCTGTGATTGATCGGTTACTACAGTATTTATACACTCACCAATCATTAGCACAAACGGAAGGGATTTTCGTACGTACATTGTACTATTTAACAAATTTACAATGTGAACCCATTCCAGACAAACACGAATACATCTTGAATTTTTTTAAGGCTTAATTGTTTCTCTATATAAGCGAGTCCAGAGAAATACTAAGCTATAATACATCTTGAATCTGTTAAGGCCTAATTATTTCCCCATGTAAGCGAATTCACTTAAAAGAAAGACACATACACAATAATCTTTCCCGACTTGTTTATTTCTTTCAGATATTCGCGCAAAGTTGCATAAGGCCTATTTGTCCCTAATTTTCAATTGACAGACTAGGGGGAAGGGCGCTAGTTAACAGCACCCACTGACAACTCTTGTGATACTCTAGTCGAACAATACGATTTGACCGTCACACTTATAACGCACTCACAACCCCAAAGAGCTATCGCGAGCTTGTGGCAACTGGTCGCGAACCAGAGACCCTCGGATACACAGTCTGGCACATTAACTATTAGGCCACCCCCGGTCGTTCTCGAAACTAAAAAGAGCATGCGTGATCTAAATTAGGATTAAAATCTAAATTATGTTCTAACAGAGAAGAAAGCCTAGGCATTCATTCATCTTCTTATTAAATTAATCAGTACAGATGACACGATAGATTTGAATGTTTCATTTTTCATCATAGCCCAGTTGAGCAACTGTACAGTTCGATGACATCATATACGCATTTAACGAGAAAATAATGTTTCCCAAGTTTGTACACATCACGAAATATCTGTCTGTCTATCTATGGTCAGAGGAAAGCGTAAAGAGAGGGTTAGGACTGTCACGCGCCAGTAGCTGAACTATACTTACCTGTCAGAGATGCTACTAAAACAATGGAGGAGCGAACATTTTGTTACGAAGTGCTGTTTGCCGGAAATAGTGGAGCCGACTATTCGCATGTAGTCAGGAGAAAGAAACATTACTCTTTACACATGCAGTGATAAATTTTAATAAGCTATTCCTGAAAGTATAACGATCAAAGATCAAGTTTGTACGTACGCAACTATGTAATGATCAACATAGGCGGCATGAAGGGGGAGACATGAAGGGGCATGTGCTCCAACTTTTAATCTGATAGTAAAATATCCCTTTGAATGGGAAATAAAGACTTGTATATAATTATCAGGGGAAATTCGCTGTTTCAATATAACAAATAAGGTACCATGCCTCCCCCCCCCGAAAAAAAAATTGTTCCGTCGTCTGTGATAATCGATATAATAATAATAATACAGAAGGAAATGATCTATTAAGTGGTTTCTGTTGATGTTGCTTTTATAATTTGAGAACAAAAACAAACTTGACGGATTGCATTTATGTAATTTTTAGGAACAGCAAGAAATGATTATTTGAAACCTTTGTGGAAATTCTTAAACAAAACATTTGGAACTGAAAATAGATAATAAAAAAAAAAAGTATTCGTCACATTGTAAGAAATAGGACTGTGTGAATCGGTTACACATTGCGGACTGGTTCTAAAGATGTAAAACAACAGAATGATTGACTTTATTTGTTTTAGAATTGTTGACCAAAGCTGACAAAAAAAAAAAAAAAAAAAAAAAAAAAAAAAAAAAAA